AGTTAGGTAGAGAGATAGGTAGATAGATAGATAGGTAGATAGATAGTTAGGTAGAGAGATAGTAGGGTAGATAGGTAGATAGATAGATAGGTAATAGATAGTTAGGTAGAGAGATAGGTATTTTGTGTGTGCGTGTGTGTGTGCGTATTAGGATCTTGTCTTGTCTGTCATCTCCGTGATCGCCTTCTGTTATGCTTATTACCAAACATATTCTCTTATATAATCTTATTCTTATAATTATCATTTTCTGATAATATCTAAGTATCCAACGAAGATCCGCCATCAGGATCCTCATAAGAAAGACACGTGGGGGGAAAGTGAGTGGATAATGAGGAAGGGAAACTGTCGCGGGCGTGAATGAGGGCGCTTTCGTCTGTCACGCCCGCGAACTGAGAGACAGGTGTCTGGCGCGTCTTGGACCGGGGAATGTCTCGTGTTTTGTGGGTTTACTCTTTCTTTTTTTCTCTTTGTGTTTTTCTTTCTTTGACTGTCTGTCTCTATCTCTCTCTCTCTCTCCTCTCTGGATATCTCTCTATCTCCGTCTGTCTTTCTCTTTCTCTCTCTCTCTCTCTCTGTCTTTCTCTTTCTTTCTCTCTCTCTCTCTCTCTCTCTCTCTCTCTCTCTCTCTCTCTCTCTCTCTCTCTCTCTCTCTCTCTCTCTCTCTCTCTCTCTCTCTCTCTCTCTCTCTCTCTCTCTCTCTCTCTCTCTCTCTCTCTCCTCTCTCTCTCTCTCTCTGGATATCTCTCTATCTTTGTCTGTCTCTACCTCTCTCTCCCTCTCTCTCTATTTCTCTCCCTGCCTCTCTCTCTCTCTCTCTCTCTCTCTCTCTCTCTCTCTCTCTCTCTCTCTCTCTCTCTCTCTCTCTCTCTCTCTCTCTCTCTCTCTCTCTCTCTGTTTATCCCTATTCTCTGTTTTCTCTGCTCTGTCTCTCTCTCTCTCTCTCTCTCTCTCTCTCTCTCTCTCTCTCTCTCTCTCTCTCTCTCTCTCCTCTCTCTCTCTCTCTCTCTCTCTCTCTCTCTCTCTCTCTCTCTCTCCTCTCCTCCCATAATCGCCCATTACTTGTTGTTCGAAAACTGAATCCTATCGATCAAACAGCACATTGATTATATCAATTTTATCACTGGTCGTGTTTTCGATATGAATAGGGATATAAAACTTTTTTTACCAAATAGATGATATGTGAATGATAGAAGCATGACATAGTCCTTCAGTGAAACAGAACTAACAGCCCTTTACAGAAATATAAAAACAGCCAGTTTGGATAGACGCTGTAGCATCTTACTCCGGCTTTTTGTAGGACATGTACACTGTTTTCTAAATAAATTTTATCAAAATCAGATCAATCTCTCAGTGTCTCTTCTCTCAATCTCTCTCTCTTTCTTTCTTTCTTTCTCTCTCTCTCTCTCTCTCTCTCTCTCTCTCTCTCTCTCTCTCTCTCTCTCTCTCTCTCTCTCTCTCTCTCTCTCTCTCTCTCTCTCTCTCTCTCTCTCTCTCTCTCATTCCGTGACTGTACAGAGCCTTGGTATTTTTCGTCAGGCTACAACTGTTAGTAGCACATGCGTGAGTGTTTGAGGATTTTCACCCTTGTTTGTCTGTGCGCGAAGGCCTTCCTGTGAGCAATTAGATGTCTGTTGAGTGTGCGTGACTTCCAGCGTGTGTGTGTGTTTGGGTGTGCGTAGTCGTACATTGTTCATGAATAGAACAGAAGTATTTGTAAAATTCCGCAGTTCGTTCCATTGTCGCTTTTCATCATCAGTATTGCTTAGTGTTCAGTTCATGTTGACTTTGCACCTTGTTGCTAAGATAGTTGCATGAATATCGTTTGCAAAGTGGTTGACACGAGTATTGTTGTTACCAACATATTTTCATTATACATATTTGTATATCGTATTTTCGTTAAAGTTGTGGGCGTTGTTGATATAAATGTTTCTTGCTAGTGTTGTGACCATGTTACTGTTTTAAAGTTGAAATTTATAGTAAAAGATCAGGCTGGTTTTAATATCAATTGTTGCCAACTCAAAAGGTATGTACGTCGTCTCCTTGATATTGCATTTGGGGTTGTGAGGTTAATGTCCCTGTCTGGTAACTGTGTCATCCACGAAAAGTTGAATGAATTAACCCACGATTTCTTGCAGTCTGTGTTGCCATCTCGGTGATGCTTCACTTTTCCTTTTCGATTAAGATTATTATTTCTTTTTTTTTTACAGTTTTATGTTATTTTACTGTACGTAATCATAGTGTTAAGAGGAAGCTAAGTTGAGAGATGAAAGGTTTTCATTCCCATAAAAAAGAAAAGGCTTCTCTCTGTCGACATGTGGCAACTCTTTTGGTGACGTCATCACGCGGGCTCTCGCCGAGTGCCAGTCACGCCTGTCATAAGGCTTGTGACCTTGTTGCCCGACAGACCTCTTACATTCACTCTCCCTTTAGCGAGAGGTGAATGTAGAGGGGTCAGGGGGAGAGGGGGGGGGTAGAGTTGAGAGGAAAAAATACCAAACGATAATTTCTACAAAAATGATTCTATTTTGTCGCCTTAAGAATAACTTGTATAAATAAATAATGATAGGACAATATGTACATACATTCGTATAAATAATGCTTATATACAAAACTAATCTCGATGTGAAAAAAATAAGTTAAAAAACTTGTCATAGAGAGAAAGTGAAGAGTGAATCACCGTAACCAGGTCCCAACACCGGGCTGTACAGTATGTACAAGGAAGAAGTAAGCCTTCGTGCACACACCCTCAGGGAGGGTCTCATTCGGGAGTGAAAAAATACAGGAATCGTTTGACATCAAAAGACCCGCGTCCGAGGAGGACGAGGAGAAGCGAGCGTATACAAGGTGCACAGATGAGAGTCTAAAGGCACGTAATTGGGGAAGATTACACATTATATGCCCTAGGTTGATCGCGTGCACACGACGTAAGGCTAGTGTGCACATGCCCGCTGATATGCGCGAGTGCGCGGACATGCGCTGGAGAGAATGAGCCCCTCGGCCGGCTTGGCGCCCGGCCGAGGGGAGGGGGGGGGGCGCGGCCCCCATCACAAGACAATGCCCGGCTGAGAGCTCGGAGATTAGCTGCTTTCCTCCACGATGCTGGTGCGGCGGCGGGCGAAGCCCCGGGAGCCGTCGGGGCCCTTCGGGAAGCGGATCACGGTCTCGGGAAGGGGCAGCGAGCCTTGGGACACGCGCTCGGGCCGAACGAAGGTGGCGGGGCGAGCGCTGCCGACGGGCGGCGGGAGGCGGCGGAGGCGGCGGCGGCGGCGAGGAGGTGGCGCTGGACCCACGACATGGGCGGCGACCCCGTCGGGAACTCCGTGCAGGACTTGCTCTTCGGGCGATTCCTGCGCGCCTCCACCACTGCCGACAGCTCGCGCAGGTTGGGACTCTGCGTCTGCGGCAGAGACACGCACTTGCGGCGTGGCTGCCGCATGTACTGTACCGTCTCTGCGTCCGAACCGCTGCCGCTGGTGCTGTTCTTGCGGCCCTTGGCCTGCACGATGCTGTTCTTGCGGCTGGCGGGCCCCTTGGACTGCTGGCTGCCGGCCGTGCTGTTCTTGCGGCTGTTGGGCTGCGAGCCCTTCTGCGGTGCCGCCTGCTTCTCCTCCTTCTTCTTGGCCTCGGGCAGGATGGGCACCACCCTCATGCCGTCCTCGTTGCTGAGCTCGAGGGCGGCCTTGGCGGCCTCGGGCGCCTCGAACTCCACCCACGCGCAGTTGGCCTCGCCCAGCTGCGGGTGCTTCGCCGACAGCGCCTTCAGGTCCTGCGGCACGGCGGTGCCGGCGCGCAGCACGCGGATGAAGGCGATGTCCCCGCAGGCGCCGAAGAGCTCGGACACGGACTGGATGCTGGGCTTGTCGAGCGGCAGGCCGAGGGCCAGCACGGCGCACGTGGCCGGCACCTCCTCGAAGTCGGGCAGCGGCTCCGTGCGGCGGATCTTGGAGCCGGCGTCGTTGATCTGGATCTTGGCGGAGAGCTTGGCGAGGGAGTGGGCGACCACGCGCCAGTCCTTGGTCAGCTGCTTCACCTTCTTGAAGGACGACACCAGCTTGAGGGACACGTAGCCCTCCTTGTTGCGGCGGATGTGCTTGAGCAGGAACTTGTCCTTGGACACGCTGGCGTCGCTGAAGTAGAACTCGACCTGCGCCACGATGCGCGCCATCAGGTCGTCGTCGGGCACTACCATGTCGGGCTCGCGCTCCGCCTCGATGCCCGAGTCGCGTCCGCCCTCCTCGCTGCCGTCCGACACCACGCTGGCCGACCGCTCCGACCGCGGCTCCAGCTCCGACGCGTCGGGGCCCTCCAGGTTGGCTTCGTCGGCCTGGATGCCCTCTTCCTCCAGACTGCCCACGCTCTCGCACGAGTCCTGGCGCTCCAGCTTGGCGGCCAGCTCCGGCGGGAGGCTCACCTGCGCCGGGAGGCGGACGCGACCCGACGGAGGCAGCTCGGCCGGCGCCTCCAGGGGCTCGGCGACCTCGCTCGCCTCGGGCAGCGCCGTCAGCTCCAGCGGCGACGTCTGCGGGGCTTGCTCTTGGGGTGGCACCATCGCGAGGCACTCCTCTGGCACTGGCGCCATGACGACAATCACAGTTAGAATATCACAGAACTTTTGTTACGTAATCACTGGTCGTGGAAGGCTTTGGGTCTGGAGTGAGGAGACAAAAGGTGGTCAGGGCCTGCAGACACACAGTCTAGAAAACCCTGTTTACAGTCCGTCCGCGTGTGTGCACACTACCGGATGCAGGTCTGGCAGCTGCGGCTCGGCTCTCTCAACTGACTTGCCTCCCGCGCCCTCGCGCCTCTTATACTTTCACTCGGTGACGTCACGCCCAGGGAGAGGGGCGGGGCCAGACGCTGACGCAACTCCTAATACATTATTTCTATTTCCATCGCTATTCTTAGAGTTTCCCGTGCTTGCAGTCGCCGTCGCCAAAGGGGGAAGTCGCGGGAAAACAGATCGAACGGAACTGTGACGCATTTCCGATTTCCGATTTCCC